CATACTAGCTTTGGCAATTCTTGCTACCAGAGATTTATCCAAACGTATAAACCAAAGTCAGAGTGAAATTGTTTTTCACACTACATTGCTTTATAAATATGTGATAGCTCTGCAGCTTACATTTATAACAGGGATTTCAAGGCAAAAGTAATTCTTGCAGTTGCCCTGTCATAGCTCTGTGCAAGGTTTACCATGCTGCACTCTCAGATGTTTTATATTAGGATTCTGTCATCTCTTGCTTGGGCTTGCTATTGATGCTTTCACTAGTGTTATTATGACAGTATTGTATTGAGTGCACCTGCAAGTAAACCTAATATTGTTTGTCTAATATTGTCCTAATTTGAGTTATTATTTATTTTTTCCATTCGCATGGTGATACTGTTAAGGTGGCTACAGACATTAGAAACTGACCTCTTCTGAAAAGCTTAAAGCTTGCCACAGATACTAGAGGGTAGTCAGATATTTGTATCACCCATATGTTCATACTTATGGTTGTGGAGGGGGAAGCAGGCCTGAGGTTGGAGAGGTCAAATAGGGCAGCAGATTTGTGAGATGTATTTCCTTTAGAACCACCAGGTCATGAAGGGTCAAAGGGTGGACTACAGAAACAAAAGTATCACTTAATTCATCTTTCTCTGACTATGAGATTGTCTCATGCTAATTGCCCTATCTATCTATCTATCTATCTATCTATCTATCTATCTATCTATCTATCTATCTATCTATCTATCTATCTATCTACCTATCTATCTCATTTAAATTGAAGTAGTAATAAACTCTCAATATTTTTTAATAATTAATCCAGATCAAACACGTATACATTGCCCAGCAAAGCATTTCTGACATTTCTTGCCCAAACACTTACAGTCATCATGTTTCCAAACAGCTCCAACACTCTCAGCTCCACTTCCCTGAATTTCCTGTCAAGTACAAGATCACACAGGAAAGAGAAGTATCCAGCAGCTGTCCATCTACTAGCTTGGGGAAGGGAGAAGGAAGGGAAAAAGGAAGAAGGAATGGGATCGGGGGTAGGGACGTGTCTTGCGATGTTGTGCCTGTGTGTTTGTGGAGACACACACAGCTTACTAGACATGTAAATTTAGTTTTGTTCTGAATGGGTATTCTTACAAATTTTTTTAAATTCAGACATTCAGATGCACTTGAATTTCTGAAATTGAACGCGTCCGAATGCAATTGAATCTGAATGTCCGTTTAACGAAATTCAGATACGTTGCATTACAGGCAAGGCTATGTGACTTTGTTTCGAAAACAAAAATTTGGATTATTTGGAAATGGATCCAAAATCTGAATAATGAACCGAATCGAATGAAAAAAAAAAAGCAAAACACTTTTTTTGTGGGGTTACATGTTTACAGCTTACTAGCATAATCAAGGGTGGCACCATATGACCCTGCAAGGGAAAGGAGCCACCCTAAAGCAGGATATCAGGGCCAGTGCTCAGGAGATCAGCTGATTCTGCAAGAAACTAGAACTTTTATACATCAAGGAGCAGTGATCATTGTAAGTGATTTCATCAGCATTTAAAATAGCTTAAAAATGTTTGAATTTAATATCACTTTAATTAATAAAATATTGATATATTGAGCAGTAGAAAATATAATAGGAAGAACTATAAGATACAGCACAGTCTACCTACTCAGAAGTTTCTAACAGCCTTCAATCAGGTTCAGACTTACTCTGGACAATTTAATGTGGTTGTAAAAAAAAACAAAAATCAGAAAAAGAGAGCCAGTAGAATAGGCTTTAGAGAATTATACATTCAGTGTGTTTGTAAATAGGTGCATTAGTGCTGTCTGCAAGGAGCTACAGAGAAATCGGATTAAGCACAGTATTAGTGGCTTACTAACTGGCTCCATTTGTCAGGAATTGCTGTTTAAGCAATGCCAGTGTTGTGACACTGTGGAGGTGGGTGAGCAAATGCAAGGAAACTTGGCTGATAAGAAGCACTTGGGCTTTTTCCAATGCGCCCAAAAGGTAGTACACTTGAGACTGGTCAACTGAGAATGTTCCCCCCAAGTTTAATGACACCCAAAGTCATGAGGCAAAATCAGACTATGGGAACAGTGAAATCTCGTCTGGATTTTTTTTCCAGATAGATTATTGTTTTTACAAGATTGTCTATAATACACACTATTATACATGCTTATATGATGTGAGTTTGAGTTACATTCACTAAGACTGTCAAATTTTTATCCAATGCTTGTGGTCAGCTATATGCAAAAGTGCATGTGCATACAATATTTGTGTGTGCACTTTGATGGCATAGGGGTTTTTCCTTGACTCAGAGACTGGGTTGTTTAACATGTAAGCAGGCATTGTGCAAAATACAGAAACCAAAACCAACCAACCAGAATCAATTTTTCGCTGCTCTCAATACACTGCTGAAATCTGGTTCCCGTGGGTCATTGCAGCCTATGTATTATCACAGCTCTTTGATTGCCTAAGTTAAGTCTGTAGATCCTTTGAAATGATTCCTGTTTAGTAGACAACAAGCAGCAAGAAGGGATAATATGGCCTTGTCACGAACATATTAGATGCCCTTGATAATAAGGAGGTTAAAGATCTACCACTCTTTTCATCTATCCTTTGTTCCATTATCACTCCATCTGATTAATCACCAGGAATGTAATCATTTTCCCATTTTTGTAACATTTACTACATCACCAAATATGACTTCATTTTCTTTAACAAAAGTGTTCTTTATACTTAGCATATTTGTTCAATCTGGTGATGTTAATGCAGCATGTAAAAATAATACCGTTGTG